TGTTACTTCAATTCCCCTTCTTCATAATCCTTTCAGATAATTTGGTGGTGTCCGTCTCCTCTCCAAGGCAGAAATTTACCAGTGATTAAATTCATATTTCTTTCTTTTTTTTGCTTCCATTTTTTGGTAAGATAATAAAGCATTTTCGCTTCAGTTCACTTATGAGGAATTTCCACTTCTTTCTTTTTCTATATGCTGTATTCCCTCAGGAGGTGGATGATCATGACACTCCACAGCTACCTATCTTTTGTAGCTCTTACCAATGCTTGACTTTTTAATAGCTCACAGTCCCTGTTCTGCTACCATTAGGTAGATTAATTGCTGCTTCCCTCTGTTCCTCATGTCTTCAATATGTCTTGTGATTGTCAAGTTTTCCAAGCCTTCCTTCCTCATTATGTGTCTTAGAAATTTCAACTGTCTCTTTCTGATTCTAAATATAAGTGTCCTTTTTGTTCCCATTTTCCTTAAGATATTCTTGTTGTTTCATGCTACATCCATGGTATTCTCAGCATCCTTCTGTAGAACAAAATTTGTTTCTTCAAGTTTTCTCTTCATCTGAAAATAAATTTTCCTGCATGCACTGCTATATATAAAGATGGATATTATATAGCAGTTCTGCAATCTTTTTTCTAATGAAATTTTCTTGTTACTTCATACTTTACTTAGCTTTTGGAAGATAACTTTTGCTTATTCAATAAACCTTCAGATTTCAGTGTCACAGTATCTGTCAAATGTTAAGACAAATATTTAAACTTCTTTACTTGTTTGATTTTGAAATTTCCAATTCACAGCTCATATTTTTGTTTCTCTTTCTGACTTCCATATTTTCTCTTCTTACAACTGATGTTTAGGCTTTTCTTCTTGCTTTCCTTTACTACAACCTGTCAGAGGTCTTGCAGTTTTCTTTCTCTGTCTGCCATGCATAAATCCATTAATATTACAGACAAGAAAGCAAAAATAATAACTCACTTAAAACTAAGCATAATTCATTTTGCAGAAAATAAAGAAATGACAGAATGGCAAGAAAAATGAACCAAGAAGAAAATCTACTATTGTTGTATAAGAACATGACAATTAAAATATGACTGAAATTTTTCTGTTTTGATTATCAGTTTGCATAAGTACAGCCATAGTTGGCCACTTGTTCTTGTTGTTAGCCCACCATTGACCAGTTGACCTTATTGTTGGCTCACCATTGGCCAGTTGATCTTATTGTTGGCTCACCATTGACCAGTTGATCTTATTGTTGGCTCACCATTGGCCAGTTGATCTTATTGTTGGCTCACCATTGACCAGTTGATCTTATTGTTGGCTCACCATTGGCCAGTTGATCTTATTGTTGGCTCACCATTGGCCAGTTGATCTTATTGTTGGCTCACCATTGGCCAGTTGATCTTATTGTTAGTTCACCATTGTTGAGAAGTGCTTCATGCAAAGGTCAGCTTTTTTAAGTAATTTTTTACACTTGATAATTTATAACATAGTCATTAATTTTGCACCAGAAATTTTGTATTTAAACAAATTGATCCACGAAAAAAAATTTAGAAAATAAATTCTTATTTAATTGGTTCTTCTTTATGTGTAGTGTCCCTTCGAGATGTAGGCGATAATGGCTCTCCACAATTTCCTGTTCTTATGTGTTTTTGTTATCTCTCCTAAATCCTATTCTGTCATTCATTTACTCAAGCTCATTCTTTTATGTGTCGTGTCACTTCAGAACATTAGTGATCATGGCTCTCCACAATTTCCTGTCCTTTGTAGCTAATAATAAATGTTGTCTTTTCATTATTTCTTCTAAACCAGATTTTCCAAGCCCTCTTTCTTCATCATGTTCAACAGAAACTTCAACTGTTTTTTCTTTTATTGTTTACATTTTCTCTAAAACTTTGTTGTTCACATATTCAGTACATAGTATCCTCAGCATCCTTCTGTAGAACCACATTTCTATTGCTTCAAGTTTCTCATTCATCTTTGAGGAGATTGTCCAGCACTCACTGCCATAAAGGAGAACAGATATCACATAATAGTTTAGTACTCTTTTCCTTGTTACTAGCAAAATATTTCTATTTCTCAATACTTTCTTTTAGCTTTTGGAATGAATCTTTGGCTATCCCAATGTGCCTTCAGATTTAAACTTTGTCATTGCTCACATATTTGGTCTATAGTATCCTCAGCATCCTTCTGTAGAACCACATTTCTCTTGCTTCAAGTTTCTCATTCATCTTTGAGGAGATTGTCCAGCACTCACTGCCATAAAGGAGAACAGATGATCACATAGCAGTTTAGTACTCTTTTCTTTGTTACTAGCAAAATATTTCTATTTCTCAATACTTTCACTTAGCTTTTGGAATGAATCTTTGGCTATCTCAATGTGCCTTCAGATTTCAGAGTCACATTTTCCGTCTTTGCTAAAACACTTCCCAGATGTTTAAACTTCTGCCCTTATTTGATTTTGGTATCTTGGAGTTTCAATTTGCACTTTGGGCTCATCCTTTTGCTAACTACCATGGATTCTTTTTTTTTCTCAGTTGATGTTTAATCTTTTCTTCATGTTTCCTTTCACTACCTTCTTTAGAAGATTTTGTAGTTTTCTTTCTGTGTCTGCTATCAACACTATGTCATCTGTATATTTTATGTTGTTAAGATTGTGGCCACTATTAATTAATCCTGGTAGGACATCTTTAAAAACAATATTTTAAGAATGTTTTCTATAAGTTCATATTTCAAGTGAAACAAATAATATCACTGTTATATAATCGCTGTTACATTTCTTTTTGATTATTGGTTATAAATTATTAAAACTTATGTCATTTTTGATGCAATGTTTTGCAGAGTAAAATTGGTAATAACCAACCAATGCTTTAAGAACATGACTTAAGTTTTCAGCCATTTTTAATCATGGATCAGAGCAAATAGCTGCCAGTTTAGATTTTTTCTTAACAGGTTAGATACTGTGCATGACATTCATATAAAAGTCTTTATCAGATGAGGCTATTTAAGAACATGACTCGGGCTTTTAGATTAATGTTTTGATTTTGTAGCAGTTTGTGCTGTTGGACAAAACTACATCTAGCTCTGCCAATTCTATGTTCAATTTCCTTATCTTCTATACTAAATTTTTTATAAATTCTCAGACTTCATGCTCATGGAACTTTCTTCTGTCAACTTGCTTTCCAGTCAACTTTGATCTTTAAAAATGCAAATGTATTGTTATCTTCTGTTTTCTTAATTTCTGTCCTTTTATTGTTCTCACTCCTTAATGTTTTATTTTTTTGTATATTTTTTCATACTCATTAACCTCCTGCATCATAGTGGCTTTGTTTCCTTGTTTGGGGTGAAATGATTAAAAGACAAAAAAACACATCAGTGCACCAATGTATTTGAAGTATTTAGAATTTAGTGTAGGATATTATTTTTATTTGCTTTTCCTACTTAAAATTTGTATTTCTTTTGTTTAAAATATTGTTCTTATTTATATATTAGAATTTAGAAAATGCATTTCTTTTTAGTGATTAGCATTTTTCCAGTGGACTTTCTCAGAAAAGAATGTTTTGTTATTGATTAGTTTCAATCGGATTATTCATTTATTTATTTAGATTCATGGGAACTATTAATTCATGTCTTACTATTATGAAAGACTTTTCAGTAAAATAAAATATAATAGAATTGTAAATTCTTTTGCAATTAGCTGGCATTTAAATAACTGTAAATGGAAGCAATAAAAATAGTGATAAGTTCTGGTTTCCAATTCTTTATTTATTTCATGCAACTGCAATTGTAAAAGAAATGATGGCTACATTCTTGGAGCCAATTCCAGATGCATGCCATTTGACATGATTTGAGAAATTATATGTCGATAAAACAAATGATGATCATGCTAAACATGTCCTTCAAACCTAAATATGCAGATAAAAATATTGTTTTGAAAATTCATAACTATTTATGGTCGTGAGCACAAAAGACAGCTTAAGATATGAGTTACAAATTGGGAGTGTTAAAATTAATCAAATGTTGAACTTTAACTATCTGAATAGTTTAATAACAAATGGATAATGATAATAATTGGCAATCATTGACCAAGCAGTCAGTGTTATATTTGATAGAAATTTATAAAATCTTTACAGACAATTTTTTAGGAAAATATGTTACTCAAGTCCACTGTTAATGCTCTTTTCAGTATTGTTGAAGCTTAAATAAGCATGGAATAATACAACACAAAATGTACGTTAACAAAATGTATTGAAACAAAGAATAGGTACACAATATTTACAGTTAGTTTGGTATCTTCTTGGGAAGACTGTTCCTGCATAATGGGTTGACTAAATCGCAGTCGGGCAGAGTCTCTGGATTCAATTTCTTAATCTCTACTATCTTCCCCGTCTTCCGGTACCAACCCATATTTATATGGTCGGTAGTCCGCTTATGTAAATTAGGTGTATCATACACAACAAGTATTGATAGGGAGTTTCCTTCCTAACCTTTTGCTTGTAGTGTACAACATCAACATCTTGGTTATATCATTATTTTCTCTTCAAGTTACATGTACCATCCATTTTAATTGTTGCTGCTGTTGAAAGTCTTCAAGTGATGTAGTTTCAGTTATTTGGTACAATTTTTTGTTTATGATTATGTAATGCCAGTCCACAAGGTTTGAAAAGGACAGTCTACTCAAAGATCTATTGCCTTCATTTGTTCACAGCGGTTTTTTAATTGACTGATTGATTTGTTTTCAATGACTTATCAACACTTTGCAATTTATTTAAAGTCAAAATAATATTTTTTAGATGATAAGAATTTTTTTGGCAGGGGGAGATAATAATAGTTTAGTGTTACAAAGCTCACTATTTAATCCATAGTGGGGATAATAAGTGGATTCATACCTTTCCCAAAGGTATTTATGTGTAAGTGAATATAACAAACACAAATGAAAATGGAACTCAACTCTCTGATGAACAATTCCAAGCCATTATCTATTACACCACCTTCATATCCAAACTTATAGTACCTGGTATTGCCAAATGGTTACTCATCTAGGTACTGACCTGGCTCGACATTGCTTAACTTCAGTGATCATACAGTAACTGGTGTTTCAATGTGATGTGGCCATAAGCCAAAAGATATTTTTATTAATTGGTCTGAGAAAGTGACTGTGGACAGTTTAGATATTTCTGAACAGGTTGGATCCCATGATACCCATATGGAAGCATTGATCTGATAAGGATTGATAACAATATGAAAATATATATATATATATATATATGTATATATATATATATATATATATATATATAAATATATGGGTGACATATCAATTAATTAAAGAAAAGATCACGGATCTTTAGATAATAGTATGGACAGAGCATATATCAAATGAGGAAATTTTCAGAAGATGAGGTACAAGGAATTGCCATTAATAGTCAAAAAGAAACTGCTGTAATTTTGGGGACACATAATGAAGAAAGAAGACTTGGAGAACTTAACAATCCCAAGGCCTACTGATAGCAAATGAATCAGAGAAGAACTGAATGGGGGAATGAGTACAAAAAAGATGGAAGTAGTCATAAAGAAGTAAGTATTACTGAGAGCAATAAAAGACAGGAAGCAGTGGAGAACCATAATCGCCTATCTTCTGAAAGCACATGGGAGAACAAGAGTGAGAGAGAAAACTCTCTAACTGCCATAATTTAATAGCTGCTGTATTTTAAAATATTGAAATAATGAAAAACTATAACTTGTCATGATTTATATCAGTAAGTCTATGATCTGAATGATAAAACCTAAAAAAATATATATATCTGGTTGGGGCAAAAAGTCTCCAGCATTATTTTACAAAAACATTTATTTTCATAAATTTATAGCATTAATATTCAATCATCAAAGTATTGTTCAGTCACTTCAGGTGGTGGGAATAAAGGTTTTGCTGAGCAAGGTGTGTTGTATTATATTTCACAACCTTCATCAAAATTTACATTAATTTCAAAGGGCTACAAATATAGTTATACTGAAAGAAAAAGTTTTATGTTTAGGTCACATAGCTGACATAGATATGTTCACAATGACAAATTTCAAAGTAGAGTCAAAAAAGAGTATCCTTCTCCTATGTCTCATTCTCCATCAGGATGTTGGCGATCATGACTCTCCACAACTTCTTGTCCTTTGTAACTCCTGATAAATTTTTTCTTTTTCATATCTCTTCTAAAACTCGTTTTGCCATATATTTACTCAAGCTCACTCAGTCAGTTATGCATTGTTTTCCTCTGTCTCTTTTATCTTCAATTTCTCCTGTGAGTATCAAATTTTCTAAATCCTCTTTCCCCATTATATGTCTGAGAAATTTCAGCTCTCACTTCCTGTTGCTTCATCTCTTTTTCCTTTGTGAAGGGAGTGTCCAGCATTCACTGCCATATAGGAGGACTGATATAACGTTTCAGTACTCTTTTCCTCTAAAAATTTTTTCTGTTTCTTAATACTCTGCTTAGCTTTTGAAAGTCACCTTTTGCTATCCCAATGCACCTTCAGATTTTAATGTCACACTTTCTTTTACATTATTCGGACTATAACAACAAAAAAAATTGCAATATGAGCACTGGTAAAAATAGTTACTGAAGACATTAGGTTTATAATACCTAGAAATTCATACCCAGATATCCTTAAGGACACATGGCCCAGTGGATAAAGGTGTTAGTTAGATTGGGTGACAGTGATACCTGGTTAAGGCAATGGAGAACTTGGAGAAGGGAATTAACAGGTGATAACTGATAACTGACATCCATTAAACATGGCACATGGAACTAGAACAGTCTACCCCAGTGAGCGAAATAACGGGTTCAGTTCGACATTCCAACCACCTGAAGAAGGCTGGAGCGTACAATGGTCGAAATGTTGTGATAAATATGCCAACAAAGATGAGGACAATAGTCCGAATAATGTAATTAATGTACATAATACCTCATCTCAGAAATATAGACAGATACTGAAAGGTCGAAATGTTGTAATAAATATGGTGACAAAGATGAGGACAATAGTCTGAATAATGTAAATAGTGTACATAATACCTCATCTCAGAAATATAGACAGATACTGAAAGGTCGAAATGTTGTAATAAATATGGTGACAAAGATGAGGACAATAGTCTGAATAATGTACATAATACCTCATCTCAGAAATATAGACAGTCACACTTTCTGTTCTCTGTTAAAACACTTTCCATATATTTAAATTGTACTTGTTTAATTTTGGGATTTACAATTTGTAACTTGCTTGTTTAGCTGTTACTTTTGCTAACAACTATGCATTTTATATTCTTGCGACTGATTAGTCATTTCTTCTCACTTTTCACCATTACTTTCTGCTGGAGTTCTTGTAGCTTCCTTTCTAGTTTTCCTGCTATAAACACTGTTTTATCTGCATATCTTATGCTGTTAAGATTGTAGCTGCCAGTAACGAATCCTTATAGAACTTCTACTTCTTTCAGAATCACCTCACTTTATACTTTCAACATCTGGTGAGACGATGCATCCTTGTTGTACACTAATTTTTATTTTTGTATATTTACTGAATGCATTTCATAATCCATATGCAGGAAGTTTGCTGCCAGTATACATTCTAAATTTTTCTAATGTCCTTCTCAAATATGTCAAGGTTACCTAGCAGTTCCAAAAGTTCTTTGTGACCAATAGTGGCATCCCAAATTTCCAGGAACTGGTTCTATAAAAGCAGGTAATGTCTAGAAACTTATTCTGCTTATTTTTTTTAAATCTGAGAATGGAAACAAATCACTTTATAGTATCAAAAAGAATTAAAACACTTTTGATAATTTAATAGAAAATATTTATTTATTAAGATATTTCCAAGTTGAAATTATACTCTCATCATATTTCTTTTCAGAAGTATGAGGCTTTTTGACCCTAGTGTCATCAGCTGTGTTATGGTTTCTTAGCCATATTTGAACTGAATGGATGCAGTCCCAAACATCCAATAGAAGAACTTTCAAATTTATGTCAAGAAGATTTGCCACATTTTTAAGTTCAAGATGATTTCTTTTGTCAGAATAAATTAGCAGATCTATATGGCAAAACTTGCTTCAAAATATCATTCTTTGCATTTGGTTCAGATTTTCTATCAATTTTGGGGATTTTATAATATTTATCTATGTCTTTCATTTACTTTTTCTCCCCACCCCCATTGACTGCTGTTTAGTGTTGTGGTAGCGGGCGGGGACATGTGTCTATTATAGTTTCATTAGGCATGAGCATAGAGTAAGTAACATTTTACCTAGACCATCAGCTATTAATATATGATTATTTTCAGATAATCCAACAACCAATTCACTAAGCTTTCATAATTTTAAGAATTGGTTCACAAGAACCAGTGTGAACTTGTAGAATGCCACAACTTTTTCTCATGTATTTTATCATATTAAAAAGAAATCAGCTCAAACTTTGTGGAGACATTGGGCAAATAACATTACATGATAAAATTAATTAATTAATTGAAATTATGATGTTACACACACATAAAATAAGCATGAGTGTAGCATATATCTCTGTAATGTCCAAGAACAAGTAGTGTGTTAGTGGGTAAGTTCATCCTTTAACTGACAATCTGCTTTGGTGAAACCTTGGTAGGTTTGTTTATATATATATAATGGCTGGGCAAAATGTCAGCCCATAGGAATAAGGTAAATGCAGAACATTTAGTTGGAAAGGAGTTTAGAAACAGCTATGTACTGAAAATATAAGCAACAACAAGGTTTTAGAGAAAATGGAAACAAAAAGGAAATTTATACTGAACATCAGGAAGAGTCAATTGAAATTTCTGGGGCACATAATGTGGAAGGAGGGCTTGGAAAACCTGATACTCACAGGACAGATTGAGAGAAAGAGGGACAGAGGAAAGTAGTGTGTAACATACTTGATGGGCTTTGAGCAAATGGATGGCAGAACAGTGCTTGGGAGAAATAACTAAAAGACAAAACTTAGTAAGAGCTACACGGGACATGAAGATGTGGAGGGCCATGATCGCCTATGTCCTGATGGGACACGGCACATAAAAGAAGATGAAGATGAGATTGGAAGTGATGTGGACATGCTGTCATTGTCTGTTGAAGATTCATAGTTGGTACCTACCCAATTGTGTCCTTGCAACTGCAGGTCCGCCGTTCATTGTCAAGCTGAAAACGCTGAATAGTATTTCATTTCAAACTATGGATGAACCTGACTTCCTAGGGCTTTGATTTTTTTTCCCTCTCTCACATTTGTAATAAAAAGTTAAGTGCTAGAATTTAATGAAATTATCAGTCAGCTTTTTTCTCAAAAGAAATATTTCAGTTTTTAATGTGTTATTCAAAAACGCCAATTACTCATTGTTGTTTTGCACAGTTCTGTTTAGCCTACTGTAGTTCCTAAGAAACAATTCTCTTGGTATCTCCAAGTAGATTCTCTTTCAACTGACATATAGAAGGCAATCCTGGATGTAGAAAAGATGTTCTTAATGTATTCCTGTAATAGATCAATTTTCATCATCAGTTACAAACATCTCCAAAAATAATTTTTTCTTTGACAAGCAAGAAAGACAAGTGCTTCTGTAAATTCAGATTTACATATTGACTATTTTTCTGTTTTCCAAATTATTTCTAAGGCTTGTAAAATAATATATCAAAGTTGACATTACTGTATATGCAATAAATACTTAGAAGCAACAACTTAAATATATAGACGGCTGATCTGAAAAAACCAAGAACAACCCAACCTTCCCCTTGTTGAAAGAACTTTGCTACATACAGTCTTGACACTGAAATAGGATTACAATTGCATGTGTATGTATGTTCAAAAGCATGGACATGTATCTACGTCTAATCTTGAATTGTTTATGAGTGTATGTTTATGCATGTGTGTGTGTGTGTCTTTGTGTCTAAGAGTATCTTCCCAAAACAGACACAGAAGAGGATTTCCCCCTTCCACCACCAAACAATCAAACACAAGCATAAATAGATTAATTTTTATTAAAAAATAAACCATTTTGACTGATGATTGCAAAAATGTGAAACCCAGGGTCACAAACTCATATCCATACAAATGAATATGTTAGCTCTACTGATATTAAGCAC